GTAGTAAAACATCCAGTAAATTGATGACCAGCTAGTCTATGTTCATTCACTTGGGTGTTTGTTCCACATGTGTGAAGTAGCATATCATTCATGTTCTTTCATGCCTATGTTTTGCTACAGTGAATCACAGATATCTACTTTTTCCATCTGCTTTTCTTGACCACTGTGATCCTCAGGACTATGAAATGAAATACATGTAGGCTTTGTCCTTTTTTAAATGTATTTTTAGATAAGCACTATTGTAACTCAGTACTAAACAGCACACAGCACCTTTGAATAATTGTTGTGTCTGAAAATGACACCTGCAAAACATGCAAACCAATTCTGACATATTGATCACAACATTACTGTCTTGCAGCAAATCAATGACTGTTTTACATGTCTGGAAGCTTTTTAATTGGTTAGAGATAAGCATTCATATGGAATGAATGCTGTCTTCAGGAATATTTAACACACGCTTGGGCAGGGGGCCAAATTGACCCCCTGAAGGTGTTTCAGAATGGTTTCTGAATGGTGCGTCTGAGCCACGCCAAAATCTGCATAGCTGTAGACAATTGAATAGTGGATCATTTGGCATTGAAAATGTAGATGTACCATGTAAGGTCACCAACCTGTGGCAAGTCGAAGTAAGGCCATGGTTCAGCAAAGTAAATTTTTGGGGAATTATTCAATCTGATACAACATCAGAGTGTTAGACAAAGCCATGCATCTCTAAGATGCTTTCTTATGCAACACAAATATTGAATGAGCAAATTACAGTGACCCAAGGTTGGTTATAAGGGTCAGACCAAGGTCAAAACTAACCTGCTTTATTACTCTAGGGATTGCTGTATGGGATAGTTTCTGGTGCTCATTTCAAATTTATTGATAACTGGGACCACTTCATGCATCTTCCATTTACTTATTAAAGGTCAGATGTGGTCATTAACATGAAAGGACCCATGTCAGCATTTTTTTTTAGGAAAATGCTGCCTGATGTAATATTTGCTGCTTATTCAAATGCAAAACCCAGAGCAGTTTTGTATTTTTTTGGTCACCATGACCTGCAAAAAGTCAAACAATGTCACTGACCTTAATTGAGCATGTGACTTTTTGCTTAGAAACAGTTGTCTAGGTCACGGAGGCACTTTGGAGACTCCAAGCCAAAATTTAATCTTGTTTGACCTTATTTGACTTACCCCCATCACGAGCGAAGGATATCTAACCGGCCACCCAGGCACATGTTAACATTGTTTTTATTTTTTAGCTAGCCTTGTGCGGTAGCAAACTTGTATTGTTGTTTCTACTTCCAGACCATTCAAACCGATGAAGGTGACAGGGGCTCGCTGCACGGCTGTCTTCTGCTAGGACTAGTTTATCATCGGCCTGAGACCTTCGTACCTTGGCCTTTGATGGGCAATTAAGTTATGTGAAGCCATCGGCGAAAGGACCCCAATGACCATAACCTGAACCGTTGCAGAGCCATGAGCAGTTCGGAGGAGGTGTCCTGGATCTCGTGGTTCTGCGGACTGCGGGGCAATGAGTTCTTCTGCGAGGTGGATGAGGACTACATCCAGGACAAGTTCAACCTGACTGGACTGAACGAGCAGGTGCCGCACTACAGACAAGCGCTCGACATGATACTGGACCTGGAGCCAGGTGAGGTCGCCAGCGGCGCTATGTGTGAAGTGGCTGGTGCCCGGCCGCTGGGCTAGCGGCGGGATAACAGGCTGTAACCTGTGTATCTGTCTAGTATTGCGCATGTTGTTTATATTGAAGGGAATGCTCCACACTTAAAGATATTGAAACAAGCGCCAGATGTTATCGAGTAAGTGCACTTATAACTATTGGTATGCTTTTAAGTGGAAATGAATACTCTTGATAACACAATTTCTTTGTGTTGTAAATATGCTCCTCAAATGTTATTGTTTGATTAAATCATTGTACCTTGCACAAGATTGACTTGGAGCCAATTGACGGCCATGATATCTGGAGGTTGAGTTCATGAACGCCAGATATGGATGACACGACAATGATATTTTTCTTGCCATTGATCCGCGTATCGCTAATGGAATGCCAGGATTTGATTGATAGCATGACATGGATGCCTGGGTGATCTTCAGATAGTCTGCTCGAAATAGTGAGCACATCTTCATGGCCGTGTAGCTCAGATACTAGAGAGGGTTAGGTTTTAAGGAGGACGGGGCTGAGGACTGTAGCAAAAATGTTTATGATAGCTATTTCAAGTCAAAATCTCATAAAAATCTGGGACACTCCGTGTTTGAGGGTGCACCAATTGTGCGATAGGAAAGGTTTTGCCACACACTGGATCTCTTGTAACCAGACGACAGATACAGTAGGCAGCATTCAAGACCTGGTGCTCCTTTAGATGCACGTGACACCCAATGCGGCCAAATGTTGAAATTCCAAGATTTGTGCGGACATGTACCGAAAGCAACCCACCAGCTTGAAAAGGCAGCTTGTATGTTGATGCGTGCTTGGTCGCCTCAGTCTGTGTCAGCGCTGGGGTGCGGCCGACATCCGCGGACGGGTATCCCAGGTCTGGCGGTCGGGACGCCGCGCTTCTGTTCATCTCTCCGGGGGGGGGGGGGGGGGGGGGGGGCGCATCGACTGCTGTAGGTCATCAGCCTGTTGATCTCTCCTCGCCGGCGGTGGTAAATTTGTTCGTGTGGAGTAAATGTAGAGAATACCTTTGTAAGGAGCGTGGCTGCTCCTGTCTCTGCTCTACAGGAAGGCTTAGGTTGCGCTGGGTCCTTTAAATTGGAATATAAGTTCATGTTAGGTGAAGCGTCTGTCGTTCACCTTACAACGTAACCGTTGGTGACAGGCACCGGGGGGTCTAGTTAGCAGCATGTGGAGTGGAAACGTGCTAATTGTGTCCCGATTCGTGCCTGATTGTGCGTCGTTCTGACTGGCTGACCGGCTCCGCCGCAGACGACGAGCTCGACGAGAACCCGAACCAGTCGGACCTGATCGAGCAGGCGGCCGAGATGCTGTACGGCCTGATCCACGCGCGCTACATCCTCACCAACCGCGGCATCGCCCAGATGATCGAGAAGTACCAGTCGGGCGAGTTCGGCTACTGCCCGCGCGTCTACTGCGAGAACCAGCCCATGCTGCCGATCGGTCAGTGGTTGGCGCCCGCCGCGGCGCGAGAGAGAACACCGCCGCCCTAAATGCCGCGTCCGCTTCTCACCGTTGCAGCTCGGCCATGCTGGTAGGCTGAGGTGGCGGACCTTGTGGTAACAACAGCTGCTTTTGCCTGTAGCAGTCATAAGTGCCACATCATGCCGAGGACATTGATATGCTTCGTGACAGATATTTCACGAGGACAGCCAGTATGCTGTACAAGTATGCCTGGAATGTTACACCCTCAGAAAGGTTGTGCTGAATTAAGGCAGCACGCCTTGGCCAGGAGTACTGCCCAGCATTTCGTTGTGTAGACAGGTTCAGGTTCTCCAACACATCTATTATCTGCGAGGGCTAGGTCACGCTGCTGCTTGGAAGGGGTGTAGCGCGTGACTGCGGTATCGATTTGAGCTGGGGATCAGTGTGAATGGTGGGGTTCCCGTCGTGTGACCGGCCATGGGCCCGGCAGGTCTCTCGGACGTGCCGGGCGAGGCGATGGTGAAGCTGTACTGCCCCAAATGCATGGACGTCTATACACCCAAGTCGTCACGACATCACCACATCGACGGCGCCTACTTCGGCACCGGCTTTCCACACATGTTGTTCATGGTGCACCCCGAGTACCGGCCCAAGAAGCCGGCCAACCAGTTTGTGCCCAGGTGAGCGAGCGAGCGCGCTGGCCGGGGTCCGCCTCTCTGGCGCACCAGCACACGTGATGTGTGCCAGTGGTCCGGGAAAGTGCCCGGGTAAGCTAGCGAAAAGACGTGCTGTCTGTCCGGGGAAAACGTTGACGGTCGGGTTAACGGAGACGACGGATCTGTCATACATCTGGAGAGACACCGCGGAGAGTGCGTCCCGCCAGGATGATCAGCGGCGCATCCTCGCCACATGCTGTGCAGCAGTGTCGGCATTTATCACGCAAATGATGGCCTGGGGGCTTAGTACGTAGTGTATCACAACAGAACCGGTGATTTTGCCGTTCAGTTGTTGTTTGGTCCACGATTGCTACTGTAATGGCTTGGTAACGGACGGTGCCGCTGGTTCGGATCCTTGCCGATATCCGTGACCCGGGTCAGTCAGGCCGCCGCCGTCACCTGGCTTGTCCCCGCCGCAGGCTGTATGGCTTCAAGATCCACCCCATGGCCTACATCATCCAGCAGCAGGCCGCCTCCAACTACAAGGCTCCCATGCGCGCCATGAACTACAACAACGGCAAGCGGCAGTAGACGCCGCGGCGGCGTGCCGTGCTGGAGCGTTGGGCCTGGCACGCCCGGCGGCGGTGCGGCCGCTGCGGTGGCGAGGCGCGCGTTGGCGCCCTGCTGCGTGCCGCTCGCAGCGTGCGCGCCGCTCTGGCGGCGAGGTACTCTATCGCCCGACTGTTTGAGGACATTCCCGGCTCGGGCAGGACGACCCGCGTGGGTGGCCGCAGTTGGCGGCGCGGTGCGTGTCGGCCCGCCTACAATCGGAGTCGTCGCGAGCGACGCCCGCGCCGAGCCGTCGCGTGACGCGCCGCGTACCGCGCGGCTGCCGGACCCCTGCGCCGCCCTGGGGCGGAGACGCCGGCGTGTTCAGCGCCGCTGGCGGGGCTCCGCCGTCCGGCCGCGGGCCAGCTCTCGTCGCACCCGCGCCGGGTGATGGGAGCGGCCGCCAAGCCCGGCTGGCGTGCGGCCCCGAGTACGGGTCTCCGCCGGAGGAGGGTCGCGAGCGTCCGTTTGCCGGAACTAGCCGCCAGCCGCGAAGCACGTAATAACGAGGCGGGCGGCGCCCTCTGTCGATGCTCGGGCTCCTCGGTCCCTGTGCGAGTCCCCGCCGGGAGTACGGTCCGTGTTGGCCAGGCGATGCTCGTACAGACGCGCCAGACACGCAACATGTAAAACTAGCAGCCGTGTATTGGGCGATATCCATTCTAGAACTACCCCATTGTCAGTGAAGACCTGCCGAGGGGCCGTGGCGCCATATGGCGGGCGGCGATCCCCTGACTCAGCAGCACTGGAAGCAGGATGCTGCCCATCCATGTTCCTCCCAATGGTCTCATGCCGGCGCCTCCCAGCAGTGAAGTGCACTTTGTTATGCTGTCGTGCGTTCATCAATGCAATGCCGTGTGTGTGTGCGGGGAACTGAGTTTACTGCGTTGCAGACGGAGATAAAATGTGATAAACCGCAGTCGTATGTGGATCGCGAGGCTTGGAGAAATACGCAACACATCTGCCGTCGTGCTTGAACACGTCACAACCCGGTCCATCCCACCCAAGAGGGCGTCATTGAGCCCATATTCCCCACGTATCGGCCGCGTTTCTTCAGGCCGAGTCGCTGGCTGCGGGCCGCTCGGCTCCTCTGACGTCACGTCCCACGGGCGATTAGCGGCTCGGTTTCTCGCAGGTGGCGCTGCCTCTACGGCGACGGCGTCGGAGCTGGGGACAGACCGCACGCCGTCAGCAGGCAGGCGGCGCTGGTGGAGGATTTTTGGGCGGTGTTAGGGCACCTTAAACTACCCTCGTTATTGGCGCGGTGGGGAACATGCCGGCTGCTGGAGCCGCCTGGGGATCAGAGCAGGTAGCTTAGTGGACGGAGATAGGCCGCTAGCTCCGGCCGTGCGACCAGGACCGGGGCCGTCTGCCGGCGTGTCCCGCGCGGGCGAGCCGCACCGGAGAGGGGCCACCGGCGGCGGCTGCGCTCACCGGCCGGGATCCGGGGCGCACACGACCGCGCTGAAGTCCTCGTGGAGTCGGCTGTAGCCGGCGGGGCAGGGCTGGCCGGCGGCCACGGCCAGCTGGCCGGGCTCCAGGTGAGGATGGTGGCCGCAGCGGCACAGCACGCAGTCGACCTGGCGTCCCACCAGGCCGCAGTCGGCCGGACACTCGGACACGCCGCACGCGCGCGTGTCGTAGTCTGGCGGCGCGGCGCCCGCGTCAGACAGCTGCCGTCACGCGGCAGGGCAGGCAGGGCACATCGGGCTGTGGGGGCGGTGAAGTAAGGTGCGGAACGCACGGGGCTGCTGCCTCTCCTGGGATGGAGGGGGGGGGGGGGGACATGTAGGCAGAACACTGGAGTAAAAGCAATGACAAAGATTGAGTGCGTTGACGACTATTTTGCTAGCCGTGCCTGTCATTAGATATGGGATTCTTGCACAGTATCACATCTCGTGGTCAAAACGAGGCGTGTGCCCCTCAAACACATCAGCCTTACCCCTGCCCTCCTGCAGTTCAGACGCGACTCCCTCCTCGTCCCCGGTCGTCGTCTGTGCGCAGCGCGTCTCGCACTCCTCCCTGGTGTTGTAGCGGTTGCCGTTGCCGCCGCAGCCGCCGTACACGAACTTCTGGCAGGAGTCCGTGTCCGGGTGGTAGGCGTACCGCTCCATGTAGGCCATGCACAGGCCGCCGTCCGGCGCCGACGTGCAGTCGGCAGCGCCGCCTGGAACGGGACAGCGGCCCGGTCAGGTCCGAAGAGGCCCGGTCAGGTCTGGAGGAGGTCCGGTCAGGTCCTAAGGGCCCCGGTTAGGTCCGGAGAGGCCCGGTCAGGTCTTGAGGAAGCCCGGTCAGGTCCGGACGCTGACTCGCGCCCAACGTGGCCTCAACGGGAAATCACCAAAACGCTGCGCCGTGCACAAGGTTTAGCTGGTACAGTCTTGGAAATCTACCAGGTGCATCTCGAAAGCTGAAGTGGGTCTCCTCCACGTGCGCTTCGACGTTTTTCACGTCATTCATGCCTTGATTTAAACTTTATGCATAATACAAGTGTACTATGTTGACCACCGGCGTGTTCATATTTTTCTAAGAAAAGCATCCTCACTACCGCAATCTGAGCACTCCAGGAAATCCATGACTTGCTTTCCTAGCTTACCTTTTAAGAAAAAGCGTTAACTGCACATGAGGTAAAGAGCATAAGTGTGTACATTCACAACAGGAGCATATATGCTTTCCAGGAAAACAACTTACGCTGGTCGGACCGGCATTTCTGCTCGCAATCTTCCAGAGTTTGAAAGTTATTTCTGTTCCCTCCACATCCCCCGTACGTGAACTCCTTGCACTGGGACGACTTCGGGTCGAAGAAATACCGTGGCAGCGCCGCTCGGCAGTCGCCTACTTCCGCCGGCAGCGTGCAGATGTCAGCACCTGTCATGGCCGGGCGGCGTGTCAGCATCACAGTGACAGATTCGCGTCTTGGAAACCGAAAACGAAACAAAGCAGCAATATGTACACGGGCCCTGAAATGATGACTGGCAGGGAGACTGGATAAGTTTCAAAACTGTCCCCGGCCGAAGACCCTCAGTTAAATTGCGCACCTTCAACCCTCGCGCGATTTGCCGTTTTCATGATGCGGATTGATACGGTTCGATGTGGACCCCTGCCGTTTCCAAGTTAAGGAAGATAAAGCTTGGTGGAAAACAGCAGTGGACTGGTTGATTGTCAAGATGTAGCAGTTGACGACGTAGTTTATGTTCCTAGGTCAATAATTGGCATCATTATGCTGGACCAAAAGGCGAAATCTTTCCGCAAATCCATCTTTTTCAGCTGTTTATGATCACATTTACCAGGCCGTGCCTCTTGGTGACACAAGTCCAGGGCAGACGCGTTTTGTCATCATTTCTGAGTACAACTGCGCGCAGGTATATTTGTTTTGGTAACATAGTTGTAATGTATGGCTCTGTTCATATAATAACGTCGACACGCCGCAGGCGTTAACGTGACATAGGCTGCCTCCCGCTGCTCCGTCAGGCCGCTGACCGCCGTGCAATGTTCCACAAATGATGCCGGTGCTGTGAAACCAGATACGCCGGGGCACGATTTTGGTGTCAACACAGTCGTAATGGATTCTCCATAGGCTACTGGAAATTTGGGCGCGACTGCACGGCGTGCCGCAGAGCTAACTTCAGCAAACCTTTGGGAGTGGGTCGCACCGCCCCTCCACGATCAGGGCGAGGGTTGATTAAAGTAAGCGGCGCTCTTCCTTCAGATGTGCGATCGTTGGTACGGAGACATACAAGGGTAGCGCTACCGCAACGTTCAAAAACAATGCTCTCAACCGACAAAAACCAATGTCATGCACGCGCTGGCTTACATGCAATCAACGGATAGCGAATCTCCCCACAAACTCAGGGAAGGCCAAACCGGTGCGCATCACCCAACGTTCGCATACCTTTCTGCTCGTGTGCGCGCTCTGTGTCCAGCTGACCGCCGCCGCACTGGGCACGGCACATTTCCAGCGTCTCGAAGTTGTTCGCGTTGCCTTCGCAGCCGCCATACAGGAAGGCCGTGCAGCCGCCGGCCTCCGGGCTGTAGTAGAAGCGCTGCAGCGCTCCGCGACACGGGCCCGCCTCCATCGCCAGTGAGCAGACCGACTCTGAGATGCATCGTCGGCTCACGACAGGGAGCACGGGCGACAACAGAACGGGTGGCCGGCTCACGAAAGAGAATACGGGTGACAGCAGTACGGGCCCGCTGGCTCCTGACAGAGAATACGGGCGACAGCAGTGCGGGCCCCCCGGCTCCTGACAGAGAATACGGGCGACAGCAGTGCAGGCCCGCCGGCTCCTGACAGAGAATACGGGCGACAGCAGTGCTGGCCCGCCGGCTCCTGACAGAGAATACGGGCGACAGCAGTGCGGGCCCGCCGGCTCACAACGGAGAACATGGGCGACAGCAGAACGGGTCAGCCGGCTCACAACGGAGAATACGGGCGACACCAGAACGGGTTGACCGGCTCACGACAGAGAATATGGGCGACAGCAGTGCGGGCCTGCCGGCTCACAACGGAGAACACGAGCGACAGCAGAGCGGGTCGGCCGGCTCACAACGGAGAATACGGGCGACGGCAGAACGGGTTGACCGGCTCACGACAGAGAATACGGGCGACAGCAGTGCGGGCCCGCCGGCTCACAACGGAGAACACGAGCGACAGCAGAACGGGTTAGCCGGCTCACGACAGAGAATACGGGCGACAGCAGAACGGGTTGGCCGGCTCACGACAGAGGACACAGATGACAGCAGAACGGACCGGCCGGCTCACGACAGAGAACACGGGCGACAGCGGAACAGGCCGACCGGCTTACGACAGAGAACACGGGTGATGGCAAAACGTGTCGGCCGGCTCCCGACATAGGGCATGGACGACAACAGAACGGGACATGGAGAACAAACAACACCAAAACATGCGGGGTGGTTAGTGTTATTGCTGAACGCTCCGTCCATTATTCGCGAAATTCACTCGAAGTTCACTACGAGAACTATCTAGCCAGCTGTTTGAATCCTGTCCATGCACCTCCGCTGGTTGTCATGTGGCCAAACGGACTGATGTAGTCCGACGCTACCCCAGAGCGTAGTCCGGCGGCCCACCCCGCCGCTGCCGCCACCCACCGTCGTGTTGCGTCTGGCCTCCGCTGAAGAGCCGCTCTAGCCACTCGACCTTGCCGTCGCCGGTCTGGGGCGTGACCAGCCAGGCCAGCACCCCCACGGCCAACAGCAGCGGCAGCAGCAGCGCCACTGCCATCAGCGCGCGGCGCAGGCGCGAGCTGGCCGGCGCCGGCTTCGTTACCGTCGTCACGAACGGCGCCGTCATGGCGGGTGCGGGCGTTCTCCGACGTGCGTCCAGCTGTCGCCCCTGCCGGACGGTCGGCGGTGATACGACACGGCCCGCTCCGCCTGCCGGCGCCGGGGCCACACGAGCCGGCGCACCCCGCCGCGGCCGGGCTGCCAGTAGGTCACGACCACGGCCTTGGTGTTCCTCAGCGTGACACGTGTGTATGCGGGAGAATGGACGCACAATATGCGCATACATGTGAAAGGCGTACGCGTACGCGTGCGCACACATGCACGTCACGCACGCTCGTACGCACGGGACTGACGTACATCATGGACATAATTTATGCGCGCTCATGCGTATGCTCGTGCGAACAGCCAGGCAAAGGCACACACCCTATCAGCGCACTCAAATGCCGCTAGAGGCACTCCAACGTTGGCCAAGAGCATACACACGATCGCATGTGCACGTTCGTGCTGTGCTATGGTGTAGTTGTAATGGTGCTTAGCCTCCTTTCTTATCAACCTGTTATTACAACCAGCACTATTCCTTATACCGAAAAGTGGAAGTAGGTCACCGCATGAACGCATCTTCCTCCGCTACGTTTGGTACAAAATGTCTGCCCCGGGTATTGACGTCACGCGGGAATCCCCACAATATTTAGCTGAAATGTTAGTCGGCGCGTTCTCGGCCCTTACAGTGGCATCCATGCGTGATTCCCACACACATCTTTGTTGAGCTTGCGCGCCCTCTTGCTGAGGCGACCTGTGTCCCGATTGTCAGCTGTTTTACCGCCGATTTCCCCCCAGCTAACATGCGCAATTGATGCGCTCTAAAGCTAACGCATACGTTTCAGTGACTCTGCCGAGACTCACCTGCAGTACTGCTTCTGCACACCGACTTCCACTCCAACACTGGCGCTCGTGCGCTGGCTCGGTGCTGCTCTCTCGGAAGCCGCCTCTCAACAGACCGCTGGCTGGGAGCTCGGTGTGGACAGTGCGTCGTGTCGCGCCTCCGACCCGGTCCCGTCTGGGGCCCGTGCCGGCCACAGGTGGGCCGACACCCGGCTGCTTTCATACACCACAATGCGGCACAGGTGTGGCGGCCGCGCCGCGCCGGCCGTGCCGCGCCAGTAATGAATCGGCCCAGCTGCGCGTCAACAGGGCGCCTGAGTCAGACCGGCGGCGCTGGGCGGCGTGCGCCCGCCATCCCGCCAGCGCACTCTCCCGCAGCCCAGCCCCCGTGCAGCCGCGCGACGCACGCCACTGGCGGCGGTCTGCGCGCGGCGCCCGGCGCGTGGCGTGGCTGGCGCCGGGGTTGGACCCTCTGTAGTGATCTGCTCCGGAGCCTTTGGCTTACTGGCAGCTGGTGCACCATGTTGTCGTTGACAACTAATCCTCAGCAATGTTGTGACAATTAGTAACAAATAAATGACAATTAATCCTCAAATGCCATCATAAGCGTCTTGCCCGGCATCAGTACTGTTGGTAGTAGTATAGTTGATAGGCAAATGCTAGAAGCCTGTCATAAAAGAATGATATAACAATGACCAACCATTCCCCGTCACATGGTCCATTGTGATATCAAACTTTGTGTTGGTACAAAAACTTTGAGCGCTTGTGGCGTGAAGAGAAAACTCGTGGCAAAAAGCTGGATCGAAGGGCAGACATGCCCAGCTTTCTACGTTGAGTAGGATCAATCTCTGAGAAACCAGGTGTCATGTTTCAAATAACAACAGCCAGCATAGCTACATGGGTAAACGAATATATTACGTTAGAGTAAGGCAGGCGTCCAAAGTTGATTAAACTTGACACAGCTTGGTTACATGGTTGAAATGACAGTCTAGCCAATACAAAGCGTTACAGTGCGCTCAAACGAGGCCTCTAAGAGCAGTCTCACGGCCTCTAAGAGCAGTCTCACTCTTGATATGCTTATGTCAAGATCTGACTACATTGTACCGATCCGAAGTCCGGAACATTTGCCTGAGTCCACCTCTGTCAGCTGTTCGATGTAGCTCTAGCACAGGTGTGCCACGTCATTGCCTGCATCGATCGCGGTTGCGCCAGTGAATAGGGAGCGAGGAAGTCATTGTGGCCGGGGGGGGGGGGGTCCAATCTGGTGTCATAATTGTGTGGTGCTCAGAATGGCTTATGTCGGGGTGCTAATCGGACAAGTTTTGTTCAATCCAATCCGACCCATATCCTGCCAAGCTGGATCCGATCCATCCACCCGATCCATCTATCCGAATCCATCCATCCGAATCCATCCATCCATCCATCCGAATCCGGGATCCATCCGATCCTAATACATGAATTTCCTCCAAAGGCCACTTCATTTGAAACATGAAACACATAGGCTCAAAATCAGCCAGAGGCTAATAAAGCCTGGATGGAAAAACATTCATGTTTAATGCTAGTTCACGTGTAAACAAGCTGCGATCAAAAGCTGTCTTCGCAGAAGCAGGGATGATTAAAGGACGTATACCATGTGCCGATTGTATGGTGCTTGGTGCTTACATCGTTTTCAACTTATCATGCTGGATGAGCTAGTTTTCACGCATGCTAGCTCACTAAAAGCACGAAGGTAATAAAATCATATTTAACATCCGATCCCATCCCCGTAAGTTGAAAGTGTTTGAATCACTTCATGTCCAGTGCTGTGAAATGCATAAGTTTAAAAAGTAACATCTGTAGGATTGATTCAGTCTGTTTCGTGCCATAGTACCCTTGATTATTGTAATGAAGCATTCCATGTAATAGAGGAGAAGATCTTCTTGCTTATTGCGAGAGTAGGCTGCTACATGGTGGATAAAAGTATTGAGCGTTTCACTGCGTTGTATCTCTTTCCATAAATAGCTTGTATCTCGCCATGGACGGAAAATAAAAGATCGAGTTCAGCTCTTAGTGCATCACATCATGATTTATCTCCTTAGTGTGCGGTGCTTGAAACAGTTAGATAGTTTCAGAACTGTGCTTGCTGGCGAATAGGTGGCGGTTGCTAGACGGCGTCGCCTGTAAAGGCGGTGGCCCAGGAGAATGATTGTTCTTACTTAGATACACATAAGTCGTCGTATACTGTCCCGGTACATTGTGCGTCTTTCTTTGTGGTGAGATGTATTTTTTGTACCTTTTCTGCCAGTTTAAAGCCTTAGCACTAACCCTATGCGAGGAAGTGTTCGATGGTGGGCACAACTCTTTGGCACAACCTTAGTGTACGGCCTCACTGCCCTGAAGACAAATCATAAAAGCGTCAGTATTTCGGGATCTCGGACCTTTTATGCGAGGTGGCTGCTGTTGTGAGCTGAAATCTTCGACTTCCGCTCGACTTTTTCAGGAAAATTTTCGACCGTCCTCCAGACCCAATCTTTCTGTGATTAAAAGTTACAACTCTTGGAACGCCCAGTCCCTTGGCCTCAGCTCAGAGAGTCAGCTTGGGGCCGCCCCAAACCCCGGACGTCGGCAGTGCCCGGGTGTCCCGCTTGCAGCGTCGACCACCGCTGCTCACCACACCGCCTCTGGGAGGGCTGGCTCCAGGACGTCCGCCGGCGGCGGCGGCGGGCCACGGGGGGCCGCTTTACGAGGCGCTAGTTCGCGTCTGGCCGCCCACGGACCGGCGTATTGCGACGATTAAAGCGGCGCGCCGAAAACAACGCTGGTCGCCGGGCCGGCCGCAGCGTCGGCTGTAGCGGGTGCGACGGCCGCCGTCAGCGCGTGATGTGTCAGTTCTGCCCGGCTGCCGGCGCAGCCCGAGCCAGCAGACGGGCCGGAAGCGGGCCACAAATCAGGACAGACGACGCGCGGGGACGCCGAAGTTGGTCCGTCTCTGCTGGCAAGAATAGGCCCGTGGGGTCATGTGGACAGCGTTTGTTGGCTCGCCCAACGCAGGGGTTGCCCTTTGTAAGTGTCCTGCATTTTCTGCATTTATTACTGCAGGCAATCGGGACTGTCCCGCACTGGAAGTTAGAACTGCACTGTGAGGCATAGTGGACCCGCATGTCACAAGCAACAGGCGCAGTGCAACAAGCAACAGGCGCATAGATGCGTTGATATTTTGGCAACTGCCTTTATCAAATAAAGTAGAAGTGAAATTGACTTCGGAATTCGCTCTGCTATTCATTTCATAAGGGCATGTTGCCGCCAATATCAACGCATCTGTATCTCCATTCTCCCGGTTTTTCTCCTAGGAATAAGGCTATTACTGCTGTCTTAGCTATGCGAATATGGGCGAAATCGCTTGGGGAAGTGAACCCAAAAAGGCATGTGCTCGCTCCTACATCGTTTGGGTTACACCCGTTGGTTTCGTCTTCTCTTGGCCTGCCAACCAGATTGGTATCATCGGCATTTATCGTAGATATCCAACTCTCTCATAAAGATCCATATCCAATGGAGCTCCCGAGATAGCTGGTGTGATATGTCCAGCTTGGCTACCCCGCACCGGTAACGCTGGATGTCCAGCCGGCGCCCACCGCACCGGTAACGCTGGGACTGTCCAGCCGCCCGCCCACACCGGTCATGGTGAGGTGTCCCAGCCGGCCGCCCCGCACCGGTCGCTGGGATGCCAGCCGGCCGCCCCGCACCGGTCATGGTGAGGTGTCCAGCCGGCCGCCTGGCACCGGTTAAGGTCGGATGTCCAGCTGCCGCCCCACGCCGGTCATGGTGAGGTGTCCAGCGCGCCGCCTGGCACCGTAACGGTCGGATGCCAGCCGGCCGCCCCAACACCGGTCATGGTGAGGTGTCCGGCCGGCCGCCCCCCCGGTAACGCTGGGAATGTCCACCGGCCGCCCCGACCGGTCATGGTGAGGTGTCCAGCCGCCGCCCTGGACCGGTAACGGTCGGATGTCCAGCCGTGCCGCCCCACGCCGGTCATGGGTGAGGTTGTGCCACCGGCCCCCTGGCACCGCGGTACGGTCGTGATGCCAGCCGTGGCCGCCCCACACCGGTCATGGTGAGGTGTCCCGCCGCCGCCCCGCACCGGTAACGCTGGATGTCCAGCCGCCACCCCGCACCGGTCATGGTGAGGTGTCCAGCCGGCCGCCTGGCATCCGGTAACGGTCGGATGGTCCAGCCGGCCCGCCCGACGCCGGTCATGGTGAGGTGTCCGCCGGCCGCCTGGCACACGGTAACGGTCGGGATGTCCAGCCGGCCGCCCCACGCCGGTCATGGTGAGGTGTCCGGCTTGCCGCCTGGCACCGGTAAACGGTCGGATGTCCAGCCCGGCCGCCCCACGCCGGTCTGTGATGGTGTCCAGGTCCGCCCGCCTGGCACCGGTAACTTGTCGGATGTCCAGCCGGCCGCCCCACGCCGGTCATGGTAGGTGTCCGGCCGGCCGCCTGCACCGGTAACGGTCGGATGTCCAGCCGGCCGCCCCCACACCCGGTCATGTGAGATGTCCGGCCGGCCGCCTGCCACCGGTAACGGTCGGAATGTCCAGCGGCCGCCCCACACGGTCATGGTGATGTGTCCGGCCTCCGCCTGGCACCGGTAACGGTCGGATGTCCAGCCGGCCGCCCCACACCGGTCATGGTGAGGTGTCCGGCTGGCCGCCTGGCACCGGTAACGGTCGGATGTCCAGCCGCCGCCCCACGCCGGTCATGGTGAGGTGTCCGGCCGCCGCCTGGCACCGGTAACGGTGGGATGGTCCAGCCGGCCGCCCACACCGGTCATGGTGAGTGTCCGGCCCGGCCGCCTGGCAAACCGGACGGTGGGATGTCCAGCCGGCCGCCCACACCGGTCATGGTGAGGTGTCCGGCCGGCCGCCTGGCACTGGTCATGTCTGATGCAAGTCGGTGCCATCACCAGCCCCCGCCGGCGTCGCCTGACTGCCGACGCCGGCGGCTATGGCCCGAAGCACGCCGCCAGGCCAGGCCCTCAATGGAGGCTAATTGAAAAGCAGGCCCTCAGTTCTCCGTCAATGGGAAAAATTTGGCCATTAATGATGCATTTCGACGGGTCATGCAACCATGGCCGGTTGGCTAATGTCGCGGCACACAGTTAATGCTAGCGGCCACTTTGGCCACGAGCTTCGCCGCGTGGGCTTGGCACGTGTCGCCGCGTGGCAACTGTGGCTGGAAACGCCAAGGCTGGCAAATGCACGCCACCTCAGGAGCGTGTGAAATAATGCAGATACAGGCAGGGAAGGCCAGCGCACATATTGCTTGTTGACGCGCCTACCATGCTCAGCGGTCTGAGTCCCTGTCTAGCTCCATAAAATGAAACTACGAACCTATTCATCGCTAACACATCATGCTTAAGTAGGTTAACGGGCCAGGAATGCCCTCTTTTATTCCAGCACTCATTCATCTACGTCACGGTCGCCCACAGGAATTAGCTTTGATCAAATCTGGTGCTTGTGTGTGGAAGTGCAAACGGCACGATAAGAACATCGATCAGTCTTCCATACGAATAAAGTTTCTTTAATGAAACTCCGTTGTTTGTGTCAGTTCCTTCGGCACTATATAAAAGAGCGTACAAATCAGAAGTTCTGCTTATGGAACTGGACCCTGCTTATATTGTGCTAGGTAAGTCACACTGTCTCGGCTGCGGTCATGCCTTCCTCGCATTTTGGAAAGTTCTCATATGTACAGCGAATGGATCGGAACAGATCGAGCGTTGCCGGCCACCTACGTGTCGAGGATGTCATATCTTATGACGATCCCGGTGACCCTTGCCGACGACATAAGAAAATGTTTGCTATGGCATGTTAATGTCTATTAATGTCAAGATAGTGACGAAACAGAGATTACTGTCAAGTTCCACTACTTTTGAATAAATCGCCTTTGTCCAAATTGTGATCGTCCAAAAGCACGGACGCATTGCAGCGAACGGCTTGCGCCTTGCCGACAACTGAAAGTCCGATCTCTTCATTCCATCGACTTCATCTCACGCGTCACAGAGAACAGCGTTGGTCCGAGCGTACAAAAATATCGGCAAAATTGAGTGCTCTGTGCAGGCTGCTGTTCCTTAAATGCCCTAGCATGCCATGATTCCAGTTTGTGAAACATCTAACAACACCGCGGTCAATATCAAGCCTTCAACGCAGTTAATATCCAACACCATAACATCGCTCTCACAAGATGCACACACCATACGTTCCAGTCACTTTACACCAGCTACGTCACGACCGTCTCCCGGTCGTGCCCCCAGCCGTTCCGCGCGCGGTCCGCCGTCGTCCCGGCCGGCGCCGCCACCTCCCGACCAGCCGTCCAAGGCGGTGGCTCCTCCGCCGGACTGCGCGCCTTGGCAGCGGGCCGCAGCGCCGCGCCGCACAGCACCAGCACCACCAGCGCCGCCAGCGCGCCGCCCACCACCAGACCGGGCCGGGACGCCAGCAGCGGCAGCCGCTCGGTGCGCTCCAGCGTGCGCACGTGCGAGCAGCGCCAGTCGGGCGGCTGGCGCGCGGCCGGCGGCGCGGCTCGGGCGCGGCCCTCGGCGCGCAGCCAGCGCCCGATCGGCGCCACGCACACCCGGTACAGGGTATCGGCGGCGAGCGGCGCCAGCCGGTGGGTGCGCCGCTCCGGAGCGAACGGCGCGGAGGCGAGCAGCGGGCCGGCGCCGCGGCCGGCCGTCGGCTCGGCCGCCCGCTGGTGCAGCACGCGGAAGCCGAGAATGCCGGCTTCGGGGTCGGCCTGCCACGATACCACCACCGAGTGCGGCTGGATGTCCTGTGGCGCGGACGACGGCTCGTCAGGCTACGGCTGTGCTTGAGCATCAGGGGAAGTGGTAACAACGTGTGGGAACGTTCGATTCATTACACAACACAAGCCAATATAATCAGGAGATCAGGACTGGGACATTTTACCAGTGTAATCGCAACATAAAGGTTTCCATGCTTCTCACATAGTTTTCCACGCAGAATTCTACAAAAACGTGCTGTCGTTCCCAATTTGTTTAGGAATCCAGTTTGCTTCTAGTCAGGACTTTTCCGGACTAACATCCTGCTGTGGCAATCATGTCGGCCTGATGCACCAGCTGAACCAAAGGAAGGAACCTCTCACGGCAATGGAGTGCTCCAGGCATTCGCACTATATCTTATCTAGACCATCGTATATGTGTATATTTATATACGTTTATTATACATGTGATCGTATATATGGATATGTTTATGCATATGTATATATGTATCGCGTCGCATGAACATGCCGCTGGATATTGAATGCATGAATATGTGAGCCTACTGTGTTTAATAATTACTTGCCTTTGCATTCAGATAAAATTAGCCGGTGAACATAACGTAGCTTTCCATGTCCCTTGCTTGACGCCGGATGGCATAAGCCAGATTAACGTAGCCTTTTTGCTTGTCATTTAGAGACAAGGCCAAGGCCATCCGTTCGCCCAGGCCATAACTTCAGGTGTGCCGGGGCAAACAAGGAGCGATCATCTTCTTTTCACTGTTGTTCAGGCTTTGAGAAAACTCTGTGCCGGTATAGGGTTTGCTCACATACTGTTAACAGGAGCCATGCAACTGGTCTGCGTTGGCTCTGCACCAAGATGCGATTAGTACTCGCCTGTTCCAATCCGGCGGGCAAAGACGCTAATGCGACTGATTCCGCCCCGCGCTCCATCGCAAGAGCCCCGCCTCTCAGCCTGCTCTTGGCAGGGGGGTTCGAGTCCCTTCTTCGCTCGCTATTTGCCCTTGGCTGGGATGGCGTTGCGGCCGGTGGCAGTAGTCACACGCTTAAGGCTAAACAAGGTCGGCGGGCGGGGTGGACTGGTGGCGGGAATCACGGCATGTTAAACTGTCGGCACGGAAATTTTGCCGTTGAGCTGGAAATATCATGACCTGATGGTGGGGGGTCAGGGTTCACTAAAATAAAACCCCGCTTAGCGTGTGCCGAGCGTGGCTCTGGTCCCAGAAATCCATCCAATCCAAATGCTGGGGCCAAATTTATCAGAGAAAAAGCACGTAAACGCAATCCAAACAGCTGTCAGAAGCGCGCGCCGGGCCCGGCGGGAGGACGCACCCACCTGAACGGCGGACCTTCTGCACGGGCGAGGTGCGGGCAGAAGAAGGCTGAGCCGGCCGTCAGCTGCTGACCGCGCAGCTGCTCGGGCGGTCCAGCAGCTGACGTTCGCGCTGACCAGCATGCCGCGGGTGCCGCTGCAGCCAGGAGCCGAGGTACCTCAGGGCGCAGCATGCAGTGGAACCGTTTCCCTGGCGGCGACGCGGGCGGCGGGTCAGCTGACCACTCGCCGGGGGGCGCCGCCGATGCTTCACCTGTTCTTCTGGGGACAATACACCTTCAAGTTCCGATTCCTCCTTCTCCTCTTTTTAGGAAGTTGTGTAGCCCTCAGATTTCTGAAAAGCTTCAAGAAGGAAAACGACTGAGTCTGTGTCTTAATCTGTCGCTCATCACCTGTCGCATGAGCTTCGCTCAGCTCTGCTAGCGTCAGAACACATCGGGGGTGCAAGCTCATTACGCGCCAAGATTTTCCATCCCTGGAAGTTGAGTGGCATCTCGCCATCAGGGGCCTCTCTTGGCTGGACGTCCTGCTATTGGAAGGCGTGTTCAAGAACGGCGATGGGTCTGACAGTTCCGGTTGGTTTTCGAGGAGCCGTCTGTAGAAGCGCATTAAAGGTCGTCACAGGAGACAAGTTCCCATCTCTCCTGACACGTGACAGTGCGCTGCAGTGAGGAAATTGGAGCTCATTCCATGGCTCTTTCCGACATCACTAGCGATCGACAACGTCACCTGGCTAAGATTATTGGAACGGAGTACAGGTTTGCATGCCATGGCCGCTTTGCAGCCTTAGCCGCACGGAGCCGCTTTGGATGTACTCAGTGCGGCTCCCAGTGGGTTTCCCAGCCCCAATAATGACCGGCGAAAATATCACTGCAGCAGGCTGTTCCATCGTGGCCAAATCATCGCCGTGCTCTCCGGCCTGCTGGTATGGGTTTTGGACGTGACCTACTGCAGAGTGCGCTTCGGTTCGGCGGCAGTTCAAGGCAAAAGCCGTCAGTTACACCGGCCCAGACGTAATGAGTGAGCCAGCCACACGATGCCAGCGGAGGGTCAAGGCGAGCAGGCGTGGCGCAGACGGGGGTAGGGCAAAAAGTAGCAGGACAGTGCGCGGGCACAAGGGCACATGCCCAGTAGTGCAGGCAGAGGGGCATGCCACCACCCCCCGGCTGAATAGGAAGCTAACGCGCTTCTAGGCTGGTTGTGCTAAGTATGGCCGCAAGTAATAAGAAAGTAAGTAATAAGTATAAGTAAGTAATTTTTCCGGTTAACTCTCAATCATCATTTAGTGTTGGATGGCCAGCAAACGATGCTCAAGTGCAAAGCGAACCCTGAACCGAAAACGTTGATAGTTACGCCGCATTGCATCTCATTCGTCTTTGCTTTTATGGTGCAATCGCATTTTCGATTTGATTGATTGCGACTATTTCGTAAAACTTGGCTCCAGGCGACAATTCAGACGGTTCCAAATCTATCACTGACGTAAAAGGCACTGGTTTGACCCCTGACACCCCTGACACCTTTTCACCCCCTGACAGTCAGACCAGCCTTGCACTGGCTCGAGCCGGACCCGGCCTGACAGTCAGACCGCCGTTGCACTGGCTCGAGCCGGACCGGCCTGACAGTCAGACCAGCCGTTGCACTGGCATTCGAGCCGAGACCGGCTGACAGTCAGACCAGCCGTTGCACTGGCTCGAGCCGGACCGGCCTGACAGTCAGACCAGCGGTTGCCTGGCTCGAGCCGGACCGGCCTGACATCAGACCGGCTGTTGCGGGGCCGGTTCGAGCCGACCGGCGGCCGCACAGGACTCTAGTAGACTGGTAGCTGATCTGGCCTGATTAGGCCTGCCGCTGCGGTACGACTGGTGGGACTGTCCGTTCGTGAGACCGGCTTTGCTGCTGGCTTTGTGGGGCCCGGCCGCTCCCTATCGACCCCTATAAGCAGCACCCAGCTTTGTCTGCGTATGCATGGGTCTGGTTATGTTTGATTGGTCTGACTTCAAATGTGGCCTTAATTTGGCGATGCTTGACCTGACTGGAAATGTGGGCCACAAATTGGAACATTAATACCAGCATGGCATTTCAATTAGTTCACACTTCAACGGGCTGAATTGATTCGAGCAGTGTACTTCACTTGATTCATATTCCTGTATGTTTTCTGCTGAACTGTTTGAAAAGAGAATTATCCCAGTACTCAGTATTTTCCTTGTTAATTGCTGCTTCCTTTTAACACGACTAACAAGCTCACATATTTGTTTGGCAAATTATGCAAACATTTTATTTGCATTCTACTTCGGCGTGTATTCCATTGTGGCTCAACCCATTAGCACGCGCCCGGATGGTCCTGGATACCCTTCGCTCGGGTGGGGGTCAATTTGACCTCCTGAGATCTCAGGAACTAAGCAAACTAGAGACACTAAATTCACAGGGTGCATTGATCTGCACGTGAGCTGACTTAAGTCAAGTTTGAGCCTCCCAGGTCATGACCTTCGGGCTAAATAAGGTTAAACACGACTAAATTTCAGGTTAGTCTCCAAAGCGTCCTCAGAACCTAGATACCCCTTCTAGTAACACATATTATCATTCAAGGTCAGTGGCCTTGTTTGACCTTTAAAGGGCAATGGTGACCAAAATCATACAAGACTGCTTTGAGTTTTGCATTGAAACGACAAAAAAAAAAATAAGACCCGAAACCAAACCATAACCACGATGTTCCTAAAAACGAAATGCTCACCTGGGTCATGTTGGTCAGTGACCTATCTGACCTAAAAGAGGTCCATGGAAGATGTCTACTGCGGTTTCTGTCATCAATTGATTTCGAAATGAGCACCAGAAACTACCCCACAAGCAAGTCCTACATAATACAACAGGTTGATATTGGTCTTGCTGACTTTCATATCTGACCCTAGGTCAATGGAATTTGGTCATCTTATTTTTTGTCACCTAAGAAGCATCTCAGAGACGTATGGCATCGTCTAACACTCCGTTGTTCTGTCAATTGAATGATTCTCTTGAAATTGACTTCGCGCTGAATCCATGGCCTGACTTTGACCTGCCGTAGGCCGGTGACCTTATAAGGTACATCCAATTGTTGATACCACCAATCTACTATTCATTTATCTATAGCTATGCAAAAGTTTGGTGCGGCTACCCCGCGCCGTTTGGAAACCACTCTGGACAAAATCCCTCGTGGGGGGGGGGGGGGTAATTTGCCCCAGTTTTGGTGAATTGCCAATTGCCAACATGTTTTGGTGAAGTAGTATGCAAATATTTTCTAATCAAACCGCTCCCCAGGCATACAGCATGTAGGTACATGCGATCTAATAACAATAAATTGTAAGTACTGCAGAGTAGATCCCTGCCGTGAGCACCGCTCTGTACACCATGGAGCGCCAGCCCGCTCCGAGAGTACACACGCGCCTTTTTGCGAGAGGCGGCGATAAAAATCTTAACTCATTTAGGGATTGATGCAATGTGCCTTGAGGGTGTTATTGGGAGGTATTAGCGTGCACCAGATGCACAAGGGCTCCTTGATACTTCTCTTAACATGAATAATAGCTCAAAACTCGAGTTGGATTGCCTGCCATAACCTTTTATGTTATAAGCCCAGCCCACACTATCTAGCAGTGTCCTAGAATTGCTGACTGGTGGTGTAAAGCAGCGCGCCCTATGAGGGGGATTGTTTTACTCCTTTCCCCATATTCATGTGAATTTTTCACTTCTACCTGATACTACTGTCTGCACACATACTAAGCCCATATTTCCATTTCATAGGTTTTAAGATATTATTCAAGTCCGAGCTCATTCGAAACCACTAAGCATAAACAAAGCTCCGTAGAACCTGGACCAACTATGGCTATATGCTAGAAGGATAATTTGACCGAGGTGCGGGCGGCGTCCGCGAGAGTAAAAGCCTCGCCAGGCCGACTCTCGAGAACGTTCTCATAAGATCCCCGATAGCATTAAGGGTTGAGCCGTCGAAGCTCCGTCTGCACTCCGCTGACCTTTCCACAGGTCACCTCGCTCCCACAAGCCGGGTGGACGTAGCCCCACGCCCCCTCCGCTGTTCCGTATCGCACACAAGCCTGCGGGCGCAGCATCTGCGCGAGGCGCCTAGCTGTGCCAGCAAGCTCAATTTAGACGAGCCATGCACAACAGTTGGCGGTAACCCGATGCATCAGCTCTCAGAAGATTGCACTGCGCCAAATGCGAACAGGTGTTGTCGATAGCTCGGCGTGATGCCATCCGTCACAATAAGGGCGCTGCGTTGTCGGCCTGCGTTGTCCCAGAGGCGAGCCAGCCGCTCAAGACTGCGACAGCAGACCAATCAGCGTCCCTGTTGCTCAGCTGGTGGGTACAGCATGGGCGTATGACCAGCGCGTGGCAAGCATGTGGGCCCGTGCCAGCGATATGTCGCGTTTGTGTGACTCGGATGATGGTTTCTTGGAGCCGTCCAGAGGAGGCCGGCTGAAGCAGAAGCAGCCTTGGCTCGTATGCCGTGGTACGTTGACATCTCGTCGCGAAAAGGTCCACCGAGCTAGAATCGCTCTGCTGTGTCGTAGGGTAGGCCCTCTTAGGCTTAGGATCGTGGTTAGGGCTAGGGGCACGCCCAGGGGATTGGGACCACATCTCTATTTGGTGGGCCTATGACCTGCAATCACGGCGCGCCTTTGAGGGAGCCCTAGAAGCAAGTGTCCTCGTCTGCTATGAAAATGTTTGCACTTATTAATTACATCAGACATCACTATCTCTTTTTGTGCTAACTCTCTTGTTCTCCGGTTCTTTTCTCATCATCTCATACTTTCATATTTTGTCTCTATTCCCTCTCTCTCGCTCTCTCTCTCTCTCTCTCTCTCTCTCTCTTCTCTCTCGCTCTCTCTCCTCTCTCTCTCTCTCTCTCTCTCTCTCTCTCTCTCACTCTCTCTCTCCTCTCTCTCTCTCTCCCACTCCTCTCTCTCCCTCTCTCTCTCTCTCTCCTCTCCTCTCTGCTTCCCTCTCTCAACTCTCTCTCGCCTCATCTCTCTCTCTCTCTCTCTTCTCTCTCTCTCTCTTTTTTTTCTCTCTCTCTATCTCTCTTCTTTATTTATATCTCCTTCAACAAATTTTGGTCATCTAATCATCAATCATCATCATTAAAGCTGGCAATGTGCGGCATGTCATTGCCAGTATTGTACTACGAATACTTCCAGGAATGATTTAAAAAAGCCCTTTGTTCGTAACGGCATTCGAGCCAATCGTCTAGCAGCTTCACCTTTGGGACCTGCTGCAACTGAAATATCCAGAGCCCAGCGAGCGGTGCGTGTGAATATTTCAGGTGATCGTGCCCCGAGGACCGCTGCACAGGCTGGCCACGAGGGCCACCTGAGCACAGCCTCGTGCCCCGAGGACTGGCTGTACAGGCTGGCCACGAGGGCCACCTGAGCACAGCCTCGTGCCCCGAGACCGGCTGTACAGGCCTGTCCGAGGGCCACTGAGCACAGCCTTCGTTCCCGGGAGACCGGCTGTGCACCTGTCGATGGCTGAGCAGCCTCGTTCCCTGGGAGACCGGCTGTGAGCCTGTCGATGGCTGAGCACAGCCGGCACATCGACACGACCAGGTTCGTCGCCGCTGAAGACGGAGAGGTATGAGGGAGAAGCGATGGGGTGGGGGAGGGGCCAGCACCAGGGCATCGGCGTCACCAGCATAATACCAACTGGCTGCCTTTCGGCAGTGACAACGGGCAGCCCCCGGGAGGAAGGGATCCGGACACGCATGGAAGCACGCGACTGCATTGGCTGCAGGCTGGCCTGGCAGTTCTGTTAGCGATAGTGGCTCGTGACAATA